TTCTATGATTCTATGATTCTATGATTTTCTTTTTTAAATCTAGCTCTGAGATTCCCAGCTATTTGATGCCTAATTTGCTGTTTGATTTTGAGAAAGTCAGTCACAGAACTCCTGGGTCTCATTCTTTCATCTGCACAGCACCCAGAGGGGATGTGCGGTTCTGTTAGCCAGTCTTTGTAAAGTGTTTTGAGATCCTTTGCTGGGAAGCACAACAAAAGTGCAGTTATTTCATTCTCATGCATTCACACTGTGACTGTGACACTGACACCCAGCAGGGTTCAACTAAAACTCCATCTCTTCTCCCCCCTGCTTCTGTCTAGGATGACCAGATGTCTCCATTTTATAGGGACAGTCCTGATTTTTGGGTTTTTTTCTTATATAGGCTCCTATAACCTCCCCCCCTTCCCAATATTTCACATTTGCTGTCTGGTCACCTTACTTCTGTCCCTTTCTTTGGACTTAGCACACCACCCCCACGAATGCTGTACTGTAAGCATGTGGGTTACATGTGCATTTCCCGTGCATCCCCTCCTCTAGACCTGACTCCCATTCCCGCAGCCACAGGGCGAGACAACCTGCTGAACTGGTTACCTGGGTGAGAGAAAACCACAGCTTCCCCTCCAGCTGCTTGTCCCAGTGGGATGCTGCGGGGGCTCCTGCAAACCTGACACGCCTAGCAGCTGTCATCCAGCCTCACCCCTCCGCTCTTCTGCTGCCTTGTCTCCTCCTCTTCCGGGCGGGGCTGGGCAGGGCCCGTTATCCGACCGGCCCTGCCTCCCTGCAGCGGGAGGGGGCTCCAGGCACCCAAGGCTGCAGCTCTGGGTCTCCTCCTCCCTCTCCACCCCGCACTTGTCCTGCTGGCTGGTGCACCGCAGCTGGGAGGGACCGGCAGAGAGAGGAGGAGAAGCCGCGGCCGGTGGGGAGCATCGTGCGCCCGGCCCCTCGCTGTACACTAGTCCTGCCCGCGTGGGCTGCCCCGGGATCAGTGCGGGGCAGGACCTGCTGCGGGGCCCCAGGTAGGTGTTTGCAGCTGGGTGCCCGTAGGGCTGACGTGGGGGGGGGGGGTGTACCCGTGTTAACACACGTGCAGAGCTGCTGGGGATGGTGCCTTTGCCTGGCTGCCTTCTCCGGGGTTTGAACGAGGCTGGTTCATGGCTGTTAGTTGTCTGGTCCTTTCTCTGTGTTGACAGCGGCCCGGGGAGGGAGGTGGGCAGTCACCGGGGCAGCAGAGCTGGGAAAACACGCCCCGGCTGCCCGCGGCCACCATCCTTCCGTCTCTTCCCCCTTCCCGGCTGCAATGCTGGGATTGTACGACTCTTACCAGGGGGGATGTATGTTTCAGAGGGGGACTGGCTCAGAGCGGTGCTGCTGTCCAAGATTCAGGACCAGACAGTGTGTGCATGGATCCTGCTTCTGTGATTTCTGACAATGGCTCATTCATTCGGCTTGCCTGGGGCTGAATTGAAGCCTACTTTGGTTTTGAAATTGTGCCTCCATACTAGGGAATGGCTTATTCTTAATTTAACTGGATACTGGAGTGAGAGCCAGGGAGCCTGAGGACCTCTATCCATTGTGCCTAGGTTCCAGTTTGGAGGGATCACCTCTAAGTAGTAATTCAGTCTCCTTGTCCCATCAATCCTTGGCTTCTCTCCTGAAACCACTGTCAGCATGGCATGTTGTAACAGAGTCCTCAGGTGGACTCTTGTCTTTTGGAAACTGACCTGGGGTCATCCGTTAATGTTAGTTAGGGCACCTACCTGTTGTCCAATAGTAACTTAAGTCCTGCTCCTGCAAAGAGCACAGGGCTGCCTTTGAGTCAGGAGCCCGTGCATACAACCCATCTGGCTGGGTTGAAGCCTTAATCACAGTACCAATGTCTTCTTTTCTCTTTGAATTCAGAGCCTTTAAGCAGCCTTAGGGGAAAACAGCAATATTAGTAAATTCCATCACTGAAGAGATATGGTGCCAAATTATCAAAGAGGAGGAGAGGGGAGGAATTAGTAAAGATTACCTATTTCCAAAAATGCTATTACTTAATAGTCTGTAATCTAACATTAAAGATAGTGGATCAAATCCTAGCATCATTTAAATCAATGGAAGTTTTGCGATTGACTTCAGTGGGGCTAATATTTCACCCAATATATCCAGGGCTGACAAGGGGGGTGGGAAGCCAGTACAAATTACCGGGGCCTGGTGGTCCGGAAGGGGGCTCGGGGCCCGGCTTTCCCCCCCCCCTCGTTGGCCCTGTTTGTCCGGTCTGCCCTTGCTGGGGGGCCCGAAAAAATTCCAGGCCCGGCTTCCCTTCCCCCCCCCCCCCCGTCGGCCCTGTTTAGCCGGTCCACCCTTGCTGGGGGGTCTGAACAAATTTTTCAACGGGGCCCGAACACGCTCTTGGTGGCCCTGAATATATCTTCAGAATAAAACCAGAAACATCAATTATGCAAAGAGTCCACAACAACTCAGGTCTACAAACAGAGACCAAAGAAAGTGGCACAAAGGCTGACGCTGGAGGAAGCTGGCCTCCTAAACTAAAAAAAGATGGCTTGCTGGGGTTAATATGGAAAAAAAGAAAACAGAGGTGAAGCAAAAATATTATTTTATTTTAAGACATATAAAATTGCATATATTTTCAGATATGTCTTTGCTGCCTTTAAAGTAGGTTTCCTATTTGACTAGTTCAACACAAACACCCAGTTTTCTAATAAAGCAATGGAACAAACTGTCTTTGTTCACCAAGTCAGTCTTCCCACTGGGAAGTTCCCACTGGGATGTTCTCATTTGTCAACATTACAAATGAGATTTGATGGATAATTCTGGGAGTCACAAACTCGTGTCTAGCATTGTAGCATGAAGAAAGCCGATTCTTGGCTCAAAGGTCTGCGTTCCAACCCAGTCTGAGTTTTGAGTTGTGTGGCACTTCTACTGAGACAGAAATTCAGCCAAAATGATTGGATAGATTTCCGGAAGTTGCCATTCACGCCCAAAGGGCTGAAGTGCAGAAAGTAGCCATTAACAGAGAGTGTGTACAGTTTCAGTGGGCTGGAGAGCAATGTTAGCAAACAATTTGATTCAAACCTTATCTTCAGATGGGTGTGGAACGCCCATTGGTTTAGATAACTGAAAATAGGGTAAATGTGCATTAGAGCCTGATTTTGCTTCCAGTGAATGCCCTGACGTATCTCTCACTAACTTCAGTGGGATCAGGATTGGGCTTTAATTATTTAATTATTACATCCGTGTTTAAGGGCTAAGTAGAAAGAGACTTCAGCCCACAGAACCTTGTCAGGGAGTGGGGTGTAAAAGAGGGGATTGGCGCTCCATGATAGGTTTCCCACTTCATTGGAAAAGATCCTCTGGCAGGACTTGGGCTTCACATGGGTTGGATGGGAGAGCCATGCTCCATCACGCTCCCACCTTTACCCTAAAACACAGTGCAAACCAGCACACATTTATGCTGACCTGAGTTTGTCTTCTCTGGGATTGCAGAGGATTAAACGACCCTGGAGGCAAGTGTCTTCAGCCTCTGAGAAGGGAGGGAGTGTGCTGCTTAGCTGAACTGGAATTCCTCCCAAGTGATTAAGGAGCAGCCCTGACAGACTGGCTGTAAGGAGATGTGGGACATTGATGGTTGGAATGGGGTGATGATATCCACTGCATTCCATCAGTGATGCAGAGACACCCTCCTACCCACTCCTTCTTGGGTTGAGGCAGGGGGGAAAGTATCAAGATACCAGCAGAGACTCAGAGAGCGGACAAGATTATTTTGAACCGTCCGTTTTTGTTGAAAGCACTGGGAGAATTCTTGTTGTGCCTATCAGAGTCAGTGTCCTCTTTTTGTTGTTTGTTTTGAAGGAGAGAACATTCTAATGGAATGTTCCACCCCCCACAAAAGCTAACTGTGCCAGCCTGTTGACTGGTGGCTGTTCCGAGAGGTGCATGAGATCACATGCTTAATAAAATGAGTGCTGCTGAAAATTAAGGAATCCTGCAGGCTGGTTTGTTGGTAATTAGGTAACTACTATACCGAGATGCTCAGATGCCACATTTGATGAGGGCCGTATAAAAACCCAGACAGATCAATAGATATTTGAGATCTTAATTCAAATTCTTAAGGACTCTGACATGGTTTGTGGTAGGAACTTAGCAGTTGGCAGAAATTCCTTTCACTACCCCCTTGAAATACAACCTAAATTTGGCCAAGTTTTAGGCTGTGGAAAAACACCATTTGTATCTGCGCATTATTAAAAATTGTTTGCTCAATTTTAACTTTTTGAAAGCTCTAGTGCACTGCACATGTTTGTAGGACCCATTGAGCCTCCTGCATCATATGCTCATGATTCATGCAGAACTAGAAGTCCAGATAGGACACAGGAAAATCTGATTCTCTTCCTCCTATTGCTTCTGTGAGGGGGGAAAAATTACTTATCGGAATCATACACACAAGGGGGATGATTTAAGGTTGCACAGACAAACATAGTTATGACTTTTTCCATTTCTGAGTTATTGACTTTGCAACTTCAACAATGTTCTTCTAACATAGTTTTTTTTAACAGAATAAATAGATATAAACTAATATATAGATATGCACACAAAAGCTTCATTATATACTTTCTAATATGTAATATACAGTTGGTGTCTATAAGGCTTTCTCTTTTGTATGGGGAAAGAAAGAAATATGACTTTAAAAAAGTCTTGAAACAGGCAAATATACGTGTCTGATTTGCTTCTGCTTATTCTTCAAAACCTTTGTTTATTTTTTTTATTGTAGGTTTGTCAACATGGAGAAGGAGGATATTGTGGAGGAGAGTGAAGATCCAGAGCTGTCTATAGAGGTGGGAAATGGCACTATTCCCATGGATCAGAAAACTCAGGTAATTGCATTTGTATCTGTATTCAGGCCTCTCCTAGTACAGGGTTACCGAGGGCAGCTCTCCTTTCTCCAGCTTCATTAAAATATTGAAGGAAATTAGTTTTACAAGGGGAACTTATACCCCCTCAATTTGGGCCTTTCTTACATTTACCGTATATTCTATAAAGTGTTTCCTTTGTGGGTTTAGCTGCCTGAAATCAGTGGTCCTGACATCAGTTTGAAGTGTCGGTTGAATTAGTTTAAATATTACAAAGACCCATCACCCACACAAAAATCTTTCAGGTGGAGTTAAGATTAGTGCAGTAATTCTCAAACTGTGAACCACAGGCAGTTCACTGGGCAGCAGCTGCTGTCTCTTACTTGTTTTCAGCTGCTAAATTGCATTAAAAAACAACTTGAAAATATGACATACACTCCCAATGATGTTTTTCCACGTAGTAAGTTGCTGTAGCTGCCACAGAGATGTTATGCGAATATGACTGGGACTGGCAGGTGCCCTGTGCAGTCATGAACGGAAGGGCAGCTGGTCCACAAGCAAATCTCTCTTAAAGTGGGCTCCACACTATGTAAAAATATATTGAGAAGCCCTGACCTACAGTTAGCTATGTTATAGTAAACATAGCCCTCAGGTAGCTTATTGCAAATGTACACAAGGCTGCTTCAGAGAAAGCTTATTGTTTTTAACTCAGGAGGTAACTGTCTTGGACTGCAAAGGTACAGATGGAAATGCACAAACGGAAGAAACTGCTCTGTTGCACAATTGTGCAAGGCAACTTCAGAAACCGCTGACAGAGTCAAAGCCTCCAAGGAAACTGAGGCAAATATTTGCTTGTCCTCCTCAAGGCCTCCTTGCCCGAACAGTGACAAACGGTATGTATGGGACAGGCGATGCAAAATGTTTAATTCTTTGACATACGAGTATACACACCAACGTTTCATTTTCTAGATGTGATAGCTGACAGCTTTTCTGTAAACAGTAAAGAAACATGAAGGGACTGTTACTTTTGACCTGTCAGGCAAATCTTTAGGTGCACTGATGGGAGAATTTTGATGTAGAACAAGGACTTGCATTTTTAGTGCCTTTCCCGCCCTACTCCCATCCCCATCCCCATCCCCAGCTCCTTCTGTCTTATCAGCTGGCTTATCTTCATATTAGACATTGTTTTGATCAGAAGCGTGAGCTCTTCAGCCTGTTTGAATGTTCTCACCCACAAATGAACTGTAAAGAAGATTATAAATCATTACTTTTCTGGCAAAATAAATGGCTTGTGTTGAAATTAGGTCATGAATACACTAGTTTGCAGAAGAACCTTCTTCTGTTACTTAGGACTCAGTCCAGCACTACATACCTAAGATTTTGCAAGCCTAGGATCCTGGCCCCAAGGCAGATTGATCCATTCAATAGAAAGGTTGCCCTGTTATGGAAGTCCAAGATAAAAACTCGGGGCTGGCCAAGGATTGCAGAGCTTCCCAAGTGAAGGCACTCATACGTATGTGAGAGCCTTCTACCCTATGCTCTGCCCCTCTAGATTCAAAGGCTAGTACATTTGTTACCCCACTGCCTCCCTCTCCTGGCTGCCTGGGCCTTGTCACAAGATGAAGAAACTCCAACTCTAAAATGCAGTAACTCCCCTGTATACATGTGGGGAGATGGTGCAAGAGGGCAGGGATGGATCATTCTGGGATTTTTTTTTCTCTTCCTCCATCTTCTATTTGTGTCTGTCCTTGCTTGCTCTCCCTGGCTGATTGCAGGACCAGAGCTGCGAGCCTGGAAGAACAAGATACCTTCAGGTTATGAAATATCTGCATTTTCCCTGCTTGTATCAGGGGGAACTCTCTGCCCTGTGTTAGGTTGTGCAGAGACCTCCTGTACATGCCCCTTTGCTAGGGATTGTTTTCGTAGTGGAAGAATCCAGTGCATAAATCTACCCAGCTGCAATTTTCTTTTATTCTTTCAAAATGAAACTTTGAAAACTAACAGCAATAAGCGAGGCCAGAGTGTACTGTAGATTACTGGTGCATTCCTCAAGCAGCTGAAGACTTCACAATAAGGCAAGTCATTTTTAATAGAATTACTCACCTGCTTACATTTAAACACATGCTTAAGTGCTTCTCTGTATCGGGGACAGATCCTCACTCAGCAGTACAGTTAAGCCCCTTTGTTTTCAGTTCAAACTGATTTTTACCAAAAAATTCCCAAATTTTACAGAAAGTATTATTCATTTGTTTCCAGTTTTTACCCTACTTTTGTATCATTCAAATATATACAAAATAACTTGTTTTATTAGGAAAATACAATACACTGCATGAGATATATGTATTATGATAATACATTAGTCTGTGTGTATATGCAAAGTTGCCTGTTGAAGTAAGGTTATGTATTAGTTTAGAACAGTGGTTCCCAAACTTGTTCTGCCGCTTGTGTAGAGAAAGCCCCTGGCGGGCCGGGCTGGGCCGGTTTGTTTACCTGCCCCATCCGCAAGTCCGGCCAATTGCGGCTCCCACTGGCCGCGGTTCGCTGCTCCAGGCCAATGGGGGCTGCTGGAAGTGGCGTGGGCCGAGGGACGTACTGGTGGACGGAATTCAAAGCATTAATCTACTGAATACTTTTTCCCCCTGTCTTTCCACTCACCAAAATAACCCCCGATATTTACCCAGAAAAATTATTAATAATTTTGCACTGATTTTCACCTGTTTTTTTGTTGTTGTGGTAATAAACACTGATAAATTCCCAGGAAAAAAAATAAAATAAAAACTGAGAACGAAGGGCCCTAAGTACAGTGATACACTATTGTGACTTACTGTCCTATTTTAGAACCAACAAAATCAGAGCTCCAGCTCAAAGACTGTTGTAACTAAACTGACATTAAAAGTAAATGTTTTATTTCTAAAATTAAGCAGATAATACTTCCCCCCCCCCCAAAATCATTTACAAATGTAAATCTGAAGTGAACTAAGCCATTCCTTAGAGATGATTAAATATATTTTTCCTGTCTTCTTCTAGTTGCAACAGTAATACTTGTCTGGGCTGTGGTCTGGTCCATCACAGGCAGTGAGTGTCTTCCGGGTGGGAACATATTTGGAATTCTGTTTCTCTTTTTTTTTGCTGTCATTGGAGGTAAAATTTTTGGGCTCATTAGAATACCAACACTGCCTCCTTTACCTCCTCTCCTCGGTAAGTATTGTGTGATATATTCTTTCTTTTTATTCTTGCATAGGTTTGCTTAGGAACATAGGAACTGAAATACAGGCTCAGACCCAATGTCCATTTAGTCCAGTGTCCTGCTTCTGACAGTAGCCAATACCAAATACTTCAGAGGAAGATGTAAGAACCCCACAATAGGCAAGTGTTGGATAATCTGCCCACACACAGGTCTCATCTTGATCTCTAATAAAGATTGGCTTTAAGCCCTATAATGCACAAGGTTTAATATCCCTTCTATAACGTTAATTCCTGCCACAGTGGCTACCCTGGAATTTGAATGTAGGATTTCTGGCACTGTAAGTGAGATCCGTACCCCTAGGCCACGTGGTTACTGGATAATAATGAATTCATAATGCAAGGAGTGTTACTCTTGAGCTGTCTTGCGTGTATCTCAAAAGGAAGTTTCTAGCACTTTAAGAATCTCTGTCCCGCACCTTCCCCCAAGCAGTCTGTTTCTTCCCCCTTTGTCTGTCTTGACTCAAGCTTGTCACCGGGGTTGCTGACCTGGGCTCAGATTTTCCCCCCTATGACTCAACAATCCCCTGTCACAAATGATTTCAAAATGTGTCTTAGTTTCGAATTATAATGAAACCCAAACATTTCAAAATTCTCCAGGATGAAAATTTCCCCCCCAAATTCCTTTTTGGGTTGACCCAAATGTCTTCTTTCTATTCTGACTTTTTTCCTTTATCTAATACAGAATAACAAAAACTTCAAAACAAAATGTGGTTTCAAAACAAAAAAATGAAATGTTTCATTCCAAATGTAAAAATGAGATGTTGTGAAAGGGGATGTTTTGTCTGAATTTTTTTTTTTCCTAAATGTTGGTGAAATCAACACAATTTCATGAAGTGTTTCAGTTTTGATAGAACTGCATTTTCCACTGGAAAATGGTGCCGTCAATGTTTTTCTGATCAGCTCTCTTGCCACGCTTATGTGAAGAAAATGGGAGTGCTTGCAGAGCACCATGAAGAAGCAGGTCAGAATCTGGTCGACTGAAATTATGAAAATAATAAGTAAACCCATTGGATCTGACCATGATTTGGAATTTGCACATGGATTACTGAGTGCAATGGTGTATGAAGTGGCATATAGCATTAGGTATCGCAGCCTTTAGACAGTGAACTTGCAAAGTCAAAACCTTTTTATTTTTAAAGCAAGTTTGAGCTACTGTTTCTGACCATATCGATTCTTCTTACTTTTTGTAAACTATTCCTTTGCTCAAAAGTTATGACGTGGGCACAAAACTACTTGTCAGGTGGGTAATGCTGAAGAATAGAAGCATTAGCAGGATAGCACATGCCTGATGAGATGCTTTTGACAATCTTCATGCCTAAGGTTCCTAGTATTTGAGGAAAATCTGAAAAAAAATCTAGGAATCAAGGAGGGAGAAGGGAATATTAAATGTTCTTTGTTTTCACATGAAAAATGGAGATAAAAATACAAGGACCTATATTCAATCATGGACATCCTTGCCTTTGATTTATCCCTTTTAGAAGGAATTCAGTCCGATGCAGATGGCTTCCTACTACTTAACCCTTACAGTGAGGCTGGGTGGTGCAATTGCCAGCAGATCACCTACATGGGGGCATATTGCAGAGCCTCTCTTTGGTGTGAAGGGAGTCTTTATGCCAGCCCCGCATAGATTAAAGGAGAGTATAGCAACAGAGATGGTCTTAAGAAGGGGCTATGAACCCCATAGTTATGCAGGTCCTATGACCCTAACATGGCAAAAGAAACACAGAGAAACTGTGATCAGTGTTCCAACCCATAGGCTCCTGTAATTGTCACAGTGAAGCACATGATGCTGCCTTTGTTTCTCCTAGAGGGCGTGGGAAGAAGAACAAATAGTAGCTATCAGGTAGACGTGTTCCAGGTCAAATAAAAGCCATAGCCAAGGCCTGTCAGCACACAGCAGGCAGTCTGTGAGCCACATGAGCACAGTATTGACCAAAAAAAAAAAAATCTTATTATGGATTTATATTTCATAAGATAACTATTAAGCTCCACTACTAAATTAAATGTTTGCAGGTTCAGGCCCTAAGATAGGGCATTGCCGGCCTGTGTTTAAAAATACCTTTCTCACAAAGCACTTCTTGTAGCAAAACCATCTAACTGGAGACTGCAAAACAAGCATTTGCAAAAGGCTGAATTTTCCTTGTGGCTCAAACAGAAGATGGGAGCAAACAACTGAAGTTCCTCCTATGTGAATGTTGCATTCATAAGAATTTTTAAAATCTGTGATTTAATTTTTGCACATATTATATATTTTATGCCAGATTTTCAAAGGACCTCAGTCAGCACCCAATCATTCCCCTTTAGGCACCTGGATAGATAATGGGTCAGATTTTCCATTCCATTCCATAGAGGAGCTCAGCTCCCATGTAGGTTGAGAACAATGGAAGCTGCTGGCTGTTGAGTACTTGTCAAAGGCTATGTCTACACTAGAGACCTTACAGGAGCATTGGGGGCGGAGGGGGAATTGATGTAGCTGCAACACTGTAAGATCTCTTGTGTAGCTGCTCTATGCCAAGGGGAGAGAGCTCTCCCATCAACATAATTAAACCACCCCTAATGAGCAGAAGAAGCTTCCTTTCGTCTGTTTAAAAAAAAAAAAGCCTCACTTAAAAGGCATAAAGCTGCCTGCGTTCATGGTGGGCTGTGTAGTCTGGAATGGGCTACACTTGGATGGCAGGTCTTAATTCTGATGTCTGTTGCCAGTACCATGTGTGCTCAGTGGGTTTGCTTGTTTAAGAAAAGCAGGGTTTTAAATCAGGCCTCAGTACGTTTCTTCCTGCTGACCATCTGATTGTTTTGTGTATCTCATTTCTTAATTTCATCTTCTGCATGACTTTAGATTTCTTTGCTTTTATTAATCCTATTTCTCAGCACATGATTGCAGGACATAAGATACGGTTATAAAACTCATACTGACAGCACTGACAGGGCAGCAGTCTGATCCATTGGATAGGGCACTGGACTGAGAATCAGGAGATGGGGCTTCCAATCCTGTGGAATGGTCCATGACCAGCTGGTTGTGGAGTGTCTACATTTTCATTTTTAGTGATGTTAGCCAACTTGAGTTACTTAACAATCAAATGAATTACAGCACAACAAAAATCTTTAGTGAAAATAGGGCCTATACGTTTGTACAGCACCTGGTACACTGGGGGCTCATTGTTGGTTGAGGCTTCTAGGCACTACGGTAATGCAAGTAATAACAGTAATGTAAAAAAGTAAAGTCTAGATGAGGCTCACTGCTGATCAGTGGATCTGCTAATTCCCATGGAAATTAGAAAAATTAGAAAAAAACATTTTTGCAAGAGCCATCAAATTACATAGCTTTGACCACCTCAGACAGAACTTCTTAAATTTATGTGCTGACTAAAATTTCACTTAGTTTACTGTCGATGACAAATTTACATTTAATATAGGACATATCAGCCAACATTTCACCAGTATATCCATCACCAGTTTGGTATGGGATAGTCAAATCACATCACTTCCAATAACCTTTACCTCTTACTTTCCTACTCAGTTTCTTCTTTGCTTCCTGTCCTCTAATTTTTCAATTTTAATCTCTCAGGTTATAGAGTAACATCTGTCAAGTACACCACTAACTCTTAAGAGTCCCTGTCCCAGCATAGCAGATCCTAATTTTCTCATTGAAGTTTTCCACAAAAGCTTCTGATTTCACTCTAGACGCTACTGAAATACAATAATAACAACTCAGTCAAGAAATGCTTGCTTGCTTTTTAGGGATGTTGCTTGCAGGTTTTCTCATCCGAAATACCCCATTCATCAGTGACATAGTCCAGATAAATCCGAAGTGGTCTGCAGCGCTGAGAAATATTGCCCTTTCCATTATCTTGGTCCGAGCTGGGCTTGGCCTTGATCCAAAGGTACAGTATCTAATGTTTCTGGTGTAAAAACATACAAACAAACAAGCCACCAGCAGTATCAAAATATTTGATCAGCTGTTTGCTTGAAATCAATACTATATCGAATTATTAAATCTCATAAGTTTTGCATTTTATAGCCTTGTTTCTATTGGAAGTGGTTTAAAATACAATACAATATTGTTCTTATATTAGTGAAGGTTAAGAAATATCTATACCCTATCAGTCGGATACATAGGACTGGTGAGCATTCCATTTTGTGATTTTTTTCACTAAATAATAAATAAAATTATTTCTGTTTTGTGAGTTGGACATCTCAGTTAAATGCACTTTATCTTGATTTGCCAAGTCGTGTAAATTGTTCCATTTGTTTAGTAAGTTTTCCTATAAAGTCTATTGGCCTGCTACGAGATCATTCAAAGGGAAAAAAGAGTAAAATAAACAATGCAGGGATCCAGGACACTGAAGAGAAGAGAATCTCCTTTATGATAAGACACTCTAGTGAAAGGAAGCCCTATACGTAATATTTTTTATTGTTTTATGTGAGGATATTAATTGTAAAGAAGAGTCCAACTGCCCTAGATGAAAAAACAGCTGACATCGGTCCTGATAAATAATAGATCCCATGATATTTCTATGATCCCTTCCCCAGTCACTACGAAACTTGATATCTCCAATGCTAATAAAAGGAGGGCGGGGAGAAGAGGGACTCCTGCCTAGTTTATAACTTGACCAGCTAAAATCAAGCTATAAGGTGTTGCCCTGTTCCTACACTTGAATGGAAGTAGAGGGTATGTCAGGCGTAACTAGCACATGTTAGCTAAGCCTACCTAAACTCAGATACTTTTCCTAGTCAAGATAAAGGCTGGATAGGAAGTGTCCATCATGAGATTTTTCTTGAGGATACTCACTTATAGTAAGTCCCAGAAAATCTCAGGTTGCAAGATTTCTATTGTTACTCTCTAAAATGTCTGTTTTCCAATGTGGCATCCTATTCTTTACCAAGATATTCAAGAGGGCTTTTAAACCTTGTGTTCGGGCAAATTGTTACACACAGTTGGGCTGCCAAGTTCAGCATTTGAATTCTTTTCCCTCTGTGATGTGGCCGTTTTCAGACCAAAGGAGACCAAAGCTAGGACCAGATCAAAGATGGGCTCAACCCACTAAATGTCCTAAGTCCTAGCTTTTACAATAGACGGTACTGTATGATGCCATGTCACTGGGACTTCAGTAATAAACCAGAGCAGATCTTTAGCTGCGTTTCTCTTTATAAAATTGAAGGGATATGTTGTTAATGTGTAAATATGTTTCTATTTCAGGCTCTGAAGAAGTTAAAGGCAGTCTGTTTAAGGCTTTCTTTCGGGCCCTGCCTCACTGAGACATGCGCAGCTGCTGTTCTTGCCCACTTTCTGATGCATTTGCCATGGCAATGGGGATTTATATTAGGGTAATTTACTCTGTTTTCTCCTCTGTAAAAATTCAAAATGGCTGATGCTGCCAATCTCCCTGCTAGGGATCTTCCCTTGAACTAAAGAATGCCATGGCTAGCCCAGTGCATCCTTCGTGCACTGCCAGGCAGAAGACATGGATTCAGTACTAGTTGCCTGTGTGTCTCACAATGGTAGGGTTACCATATCTAACAAATAAAAAAAGAGGACCCTCCACGGGCCCTGGCCCCGCCCATTTCCCCACCCCCAGCCATGCCCCAACTCCGCCCCTTCCCCGCCCTAACTCCGCCCCCTCCTTCCTCCCACTCCCAGCCACGCAGAAAGGGCTGCCCGAACGCTA